ATACAATACTAATGCTATCACAAGAAGCAGTGTAAGACTAGAGGGAAGGTAGCTAGTCATCACCACCAACTGCCAATATTTACTTTTTTTAATTCTTATGAAAATACAATACTAATGCTAATAGTATTACTGTATTCATAGCATTTCCATCTTTGTAAGTTGTAAACTCCAATAGCAACATTTTGAATAATAACATTAACAGGGAAATTCATTATATATACCTATAGTATAGTATCAATATTACATTATTTCTCGTTCTTCAGGCTTGGCCTTCTGAATCAATTTCATCGTAATTTCGTGTGCTACTGACGAAGATGCAAATACAGTGTATGAAAGTTGCGAATGGCATTGGTCATGATATTTACATGACATAAGCCTAATATAAAACATTACTCAACATATAATAATACCAGTAATAATATTAGGTATTTTCAACTTTCGTACCAATACATAAGTATCCATGAACAATAGGGCCTTCAACACCTGCAATGCATACTTGCATTCCTGTTTTCTTCGATCTGTATTTCGATATAGGTACATTGCCATCAGCTTTTAGTGAATAAAGAAGTTCAAAATTTGTATTTATTTTAGATCCAGGCAGACTACTGTCAGTTGGAGCCATTGTATTTATATTACTTTATTTACTTTACTTCTCGCCTCGTTCTATTAGTATTATTCACAAGCCTTAACAGCTACACCAAGTCTAGGACAACTTAGTACTCGTACAATACGCTGGGGCAGAGTTACAACTATGCTAAAGTGTGATAATTACTAATCGTAACAACTAAACAAGTACGTCTATGCCCAATATTAGAAATAAAGCTATACCTCAACAGACAACACAACTCCGATGATTTGCTATTGCGTACATCCAAAATAATGTCTTTATTTCAAATGATTTTATCTGCCAATTATTTTTGTTTTGGATATTCGCTTAAAGCTACACAGATGGTATTAGCGCTAGCCGTCCGTAATTTCAAACTGATAAAGTAAAGGGGAGGCAGGTAGTTAACAACACCCACCGCCAACTGTTGGGCTAAATCGAATAGTGTGATTGGGAGAACCATGTACCTTCGGATTGACATTCCGACAAGCTTTCTTATGTCACACCCGCAAATATTTATGAGGAATGAACAGGATTTATTTTCACTTCCTCTCTCTTTAATACTATTCACAAAGCAGATGCTTTCCCCATAAGTTGGGAGGCGATATAATCTGTGTGATTTCAAAACTTGGAACTCAGGCTAATGATAAAACTACAATGAGAAAATTAATCAACACTTGAGAGTATACGATGCGTTTTTATTTTTATTGTTATAGCATTATTATCACCTACAATTTTTATATTGTTACGACATCGGGGGGTCACGTGACTCTAGTAACACGTCATATTCTCGAAGGTTCGTGAAGTTTCTAGCTTTTACTAGAGATGCGGTAGTCTTGTATATATATAAGCCGCCAAGAAGTGACGGCAGGGAGGTAATGTATGTGTAATTGACAGTTAAGTCGAGCACGTGAGACGTTCGTTGTGAATTATAGCGTTTGTTATAGCGCGATTGTGGAAATTAAATGTATTAAAAAGTTGTATTCAGAAAGAATAAACCAGTTTACTTAAGAAAGGACTTGTGTCGCTAAAGTTTCATCGGAAAGAAATTATACGGAAAATTAAATATTGTTTGTTTGTTTTTGAATTTCGCTCAAAGCTACACGAGGGCTATCTGCGCTAGCCGTTCCTAATTTAGCAGTGTAAGACTAGAGGGAAGGCAGCTAGTCATCACCA